ATAAACGAATTAAATTAGACTTCGATAGATACATAAATGAAAGATTCCTAACGCGTACTCAAATACTTTCGCAAGCCGGCAAGTGTATCTAAATACGTGGTGGTGTCAGGTCGTTTAGAGAACAAGTACACGCGATGAAAAAGGAGCGTGTACGGTGGAAAAAAAAAAAAGAAAAGAAAAGAGCGTGGGCAGGAATTCCTCGGTCGCGTTTCCAAAGGATCGCGAACGCTTGTTGCACAACTGAACGCACACGATCGGCCAATAGAGAAAAGCCTCTCTGCGGTTGCAGTCCGCGGAGAGTACTCGAGCTCTTTCGAGCTCCCTCAAGGTGGTCTCGTCTAAATATAGCCGAGTGGAGCCCAGAATAACAGCACGTCGCGAGCCAGCAATGACCAAAGCTCCTCAGCTCGTTCACGAAGCCAGCCAACTGAGCCAACCAGCCAGGATAACCGACCAGGTTGGTCAGTTTTGTCTACTACCGGCCCTTCAGCCTCGTTTCTCTCCCTATCCTCCAAAAAACAAAGAGAGAGAGAGAGACAGAGAGAAAGAGAGAAGGGGGGACCATCACGATATCAAGGAGTTACGGCTTCATTTTTTACAAATTTTATTTTTTAATTAATGTACTTCGTGCTTCGGAAAGAACGTTCTAAAAATCATTGGTCGTTTTTTCGTGCATTTTATACATTTTTGCATCCTTCCAATTCCTCGGGAAACAAATGCATAAAAATCCGCGATCTAATGATAAAGATCTTATTTCAAATTATTCTTTAATCAGAGAAAAGATTGCTACGAATTTTAAACACTAATGTGACCTAACGCTTTAAAACAATATGTAGATACTCTTCTATGATTCTTTCACATTAGCGCATCCTCTTTGTTTATTCTGATCCCGCTGCTTCTAAGGAGAATAGGGTTCTAAGGAGAATATCTGTTCTAAGTCAGACCAGTTTCGTCTACTGGATCGTCAATCACCGACTAGGTTTTATGTAAACTCAAAAGGACACTTTTTTAGGTTATTTCCATTGAGATTACGTATTGACTCGTTGGTTTATTATTTTTCAAGTTTTTTTTTCAATATTATTAATTACACATTTTAAAGTGAAATATTTCTTATAAATATCAATCTCCTCGAATCGACATCCTTCATACTTTCCGACAATAATGTATGTTTCAATGATTATAGATGTTAACAAACTGTGATTAGCTTGTCGTCAATGCGCGATCAAATTTATCAGAATTGAATCGACATTCTTCTCTAACTTCTGAATTATACTATACGTTTCTAGCAATATGGATATTAATGAATATCGTAATAACATAAAGCTACAAATAAAGTTTAGATAGGAGCATTCATCCACGGAGATGAAACAACGCGAGGATTAGTTTGATAGATCGTAAGATCGGCGATTGAATTGCTCACGATTGAATCGACATCCCTTAACTCCCCCAAGGTCGAGATTATACAGTCACAATCAGCGCATCAAAACAGCTTGCTTTTAATCAGCTACATAGTAGTCGTTGCCACGACGAACAATCATAATTTCTGACCAACATCCTCCCGTCGTGGCCGGATTAAGTTCGTTTTTTCTTTCTTTCTTCCTTCCTTTTTTTTTTTTTTTTTT